CCCCAAAACCCCAAAACCCCAAAACCCCAAAACCCCAAAACCCCGCTTTAAATATTGTATATTGAAAATAAATCTAAATATGAGAATGCACGTTGCCCTCATGGGCACTATTTGTTCAGGAAAGAAGATATTTGCCAACATTCTGAAGGATGAGTATGGTTTTATCGTGATCGATCTCTCAGCAATCTTCTGTTGCGATTCTTCCATTGAACCAATGGAATGGATAAAAGAGCACAATCCACATTTTGAAGCAGCTATTGAAGCAATATCTGTGCAGAAAGAAGCTGATCTTCATGATTGACTTACTCCAAATGAGCAGCAAAGGATTGATTCAGATGCTTATTCACCGATTATTTCTAAAAATACACATAGGGTTACTGACTCTGAAACAAGTGAAGAGACTATTTCAATTGCCAAAAAGTTTGATTTCTCTGGAAAAGAAGAGAAAGAGGACCAGAAAGAGGACCAGAAAGAGGAGGAAGAAAGCAAGGAGCTTACCCTCATAACACCAGAAGAAAATAAAGAAAGTATCAAAGCTCTATTCCCTAAAAAGTTCCCAAAAGACTATTATCTTGATGAAGAATCCCAAATAAGAGTTGAGCAAATTACCACAAAAGTGGTAAGGATCATTAAAGATTACAGAAAGCTAGATTTTGTGATTTACCCTGTCGTAGATTTATCTCTTTGGGACTCTCTACTTCTTACGTGCTATCACTTAGACTCTCCTCTAAAGATGAGATATAATTCTTTTAAAGAAAAGTACGGAGAAGATATTGAACTCATGGACTTTATTGAACTCGAAGATGATATTGTGTTTAAATCAAAATATCAAACTTGGAAAATGGACAAATACCAAGAGAGAATAAAGAACCACTACGTAACAGATGGAACTCAAGAAGATCTTAAGAGGAAGATTATAGAATTCAACCCTGTAAATGAAGAAATGATAAGGCCTAAATGGCCTACCTATTTCATGAGGTTAGCCCACATTGTTTCCTCTAGATCAAACTGAATCAAGAAATCAGTGGGAGCTATTATAGTTAATGAGAACCAACAGATTGTTGCCACTGGTTATAATGGCACCCCTTTCGGCTTCGAAAACTGATATGAAGGAGGATGTAGCAGATGTAATGACTTTAACAATAAACAAGGTGAAAATTTAGATTTATGCGTTTGTATTCATGCTGAAGAAAATGCTATTCTTATGGCCAGTAGAGTACAAACCGATGGATGCTCCCTCTATGTTACACTCCATCCTTGTGCTCTGTGTGCTAAGTTTATTATTCAATCAGGCATCAAGAAAATTTATTACTATGAGGATTACAATAGCAAGATATCCAGATCAATCTTATCCAAGATGAAAATCCCTGTCACCAAGATAGACCCATATCACTAATTTTGGCCTCAAAATTCTATTAAATTACCCCCAGTGGGGTTTTGGGGTTTTGGGGTTTTGGGGTTTTGGGG